TGTCACTTGGGAAACAAAGAGATATTTCCCCATGGGAAGACTGATTTCATTTAATGCAGTTTCTGAGCTCAAACACAGAGATCATGGAGAAATAAGTCCAAAATGATCATTGTGGCGCATAAACCGTGTTAAATACAATGTGGTTTTAAGTATGCACAAGCACTTGCGGAAAAGATACAACACCACCTCTGTGCCCAAACACATACCTGCAGTGACTACACACCTCTATAATAGTCACCACAGGTATGTGTTTGGGGCCAGTGGCCTAACCCAGTGTCATTGTAAAATTCCTATGCAGTTTAGTAGGACCCTAGAAAGCTCCTGCAGAGGTCACTGATGAAAATGGTCAAGCCTTGGCTTTGTGGAAATTAAATGCTCAGGGTTTGCCAAGTCTTGGACTTTTTCTCAGAATTTTTGGCCATCTGTTCCATATTTCAGTTTTGTCTCAAATGTCATAACAAGTTGATTACAAGATTTCATTGCTGTAACTGTGATCTGTATTAAATCACCCTGCTTTATCCTTGCCTTGCTGGTGAGGATAGAGCTATGGGGGGAAGCTGTGGACCACATTTGAATGTGGTCTAATACAAATCGTTAGATAAGGAGAAACATCAAGGAATCAGTACAACATGTGCAGTATAAAACTCCCATCTGTCTGTGACATGTGACTCAAGTGGTTCAAAAAGAAGCTCCCTGTGCAATGAGATCATAATATCCTATCATACATGTCTGAACAATGCATCATACAAAAAGCGGCAAAACTCTCTCCATTTCATTTCTTTTGGTATATTGAAGTTGAGCTCTTATTTGTGAATAAATTTTTGATTCACAATAAAAAAATTCAGTACTTTTTGTTCCCCAGCCTCAAAGTTCAGTTTTTTAGGTTCAAAACTAGTGATCATAAGAACAGGATTTGTTTTGGTGGGTACCTCTTGCATATGTCAAACTTATACTTCCTTTTCCATCTCTCTGCTCATCAATAAGAAAGATTTCACCTATGTGAAGCTTTTGAGAGATTGACTTATTTGAGTAGTAATCCCCTGATATGCCCTTGATCTTAAACAGAGATATATTTCAACCTCTATATACTATATACATATTGATCGGGACCAAGTGATTCAATTTATTACTGACCTCAAAAGATAATCTCAAGAAACTCAGTAAGACTACTTTCACTGTATGCTCTATGTCCAATATTATGCAAAAGTCTCCAGGACTGAACTAACTTTTGAATGATTCCATATATTTTGGTAGCTACCTAAGGATGAAGTTTGGACAAATTTTTCTTGGTATAAACCTCTTGATGGATCATCAAGCTTCTGGAGGTTTGATAAACGAACACAATATTGCTACTAATGCAGTACCCAATGGATTAGCTAGTAAATCATCTTTGGAATCAATTGGTGTGATCTCCCCCATTTCCAATGAACAATCAAAAGAAAAGTTTGAATTTATCCCAAAACCAATGAGTGTACAAGCACTGAAGGATTATGGAATTTATCCTACTAGGAATGAATTGTCTCAATCTCACTATAGAAGACTAGGTCAAGATGCTGAGAAGCAAGTTAATACTCCAGAGCCTGTGTGGGGGAATCTTGATGAACACCCAATACTTACTCCCAGACAGAAAGAGGATGATGAGGTTGTTTCCAAGGGCTTGAATTATATTACTTATGGCATCTTAGCCGCAGCTATATTCAAAGGCTATAGAGCTGCACGGGACTGGTTTGAGGCTTTGATGGAAGGGTATGAGGGTGCTGTTTTAAATTATGTGAACGAAACACCTTGCTGACATTTGGTGGGATAGAATTGGCCAGATCTTGGATGAAAACTAGAAGGGGAATAGAAGACATTCAAAGGACAGATGATTCAAGAGAATCCAACCTTCAAGTTCTGTCCTGGAAGTGATAACAGTGGGTCTTGATTAATACAAGTAGCAGGGTAGAATTATTTTGTTGGTTTTATAGTGATAAATACACTCTACAAAACTAAAATTGGCCTTGCTTGGCCAATTGTACCCCATGAGTTTCTAGGCTAGGTTGCTGTGGCCAGCTCAAGGCAAAAATCCAAAACTGGGTATAGAACCAAATCTTCTGCCCAAAGATCAACCACCCAATTCTCTATACCAGCAAGGTGAAGATTTGAATATGATGAGACATCCTTTTTAGTATGACTCCCTAGAGTATGGCTTGTCAACAAAATTGGCATGAATCATATGGCTTTGATGTTGGTTGAGGTGTATGATGTTCCTGAAATTTGAGCCAGCATGCTTTCACCTAAGAGGGGAGAAAGGTATAGAAGGAGGTGGTTTGAAAGCAATGATACAACATTTATGACAGATGCCTCATTGAACATAGGTAAATGTCCAAGCATTTGGGGAGTGTGAATGTGGAGAATGTAACAAAATTTGCACATTTTGAAGCTGAAATCACTTGGCTGGGGAGTCTATTGCTATAAGTGTTTAATATGTATTTTGAATCATTCAACAGGATTCTGTAGTCCAAAGGTTGTTGAGTTTGAGGAAATCAAGAGACAAATGTACAGGAAGAGTGTGTTTGCTCCAGCCTGCCAGGGCATCTGAAAAACGTTCCTTAATATCCATGGCTCACATCAGGACCCTGGAAAGCACAAGCTGAAGAGCCCATCCTAAGACCATCAAACATTCCCTTTTCAATACCCTATGGAGTGTTAAAGACCAAATATTTGGACTTGAACAATTCCAGTGTTTTCAGTAGTTTTTTGCACAAGAAACTTGAAAAAATTCATCATGGCCATCCATTCCCATCTAGACAGTATGTATGCAAGTACAGAGCCCCAGTTTCCTAATCCTCACATTGCATTGTCCCATACCTGCTTTCACCTGAATTATCACATAGCAAATGATGATGATTTTGACTAAAAAGGAGGTTTCCATCCTTTGATGTTGGTATGTTTAGAAAAAAGTTCTTCAAGAAGAATGAAAACATACCTGTCATGGTGGTAGGTACAAATTCATGAGAATTACTCTTGACCCTAAAAAACCCAAAGCAATACTTTTCAAACCTGGATCTATCTCAAACAGAACACGGTCTTCACCTGGAGCTGTTTGGGGTCCTCTTGCATCTCTATATCTCATTTAATATTTGATCATTTATTGTACAAAACCCAATGGTCACGGAATCAGAGGTGATGATGAGACATGTTCAGTTTTTCACTAGTGACAGATCTAAATCATGATTAAGCTTGAATATATGAGTTTTGTATACCTAATGTGCAGTTCTAGATATGTGGCTGACATCTGACCCTAAAAAAGATATAGTAATGAAGAACCTGAAAAAACATCAAATCAAGTCAAGTAATCTATTTTTGTTTGATCATTTACAGAGCTTGTTTGTGATTTTACATCAAAATGCCCTCAATCCAAATCCCATCAAATCAAATTATTTTAAACACAACCACCTTGATCAAATTCATGTAACTAAAAGAATCATGAGAAAAGATAAAAGTTTGAAAAAAAGGTCCCTTTCAATCAACAAATTCAATGTATAATATTTCTTTTCAAACTTTCAAAAAAGAACAAAAAACACACACATTGAATATAAACCCAAACATAATTGTATATTTAAAGAACTTAACATTTTATTTTCAAAAAACAAACCAAAATAAAACATGATAAAAAGTTAAAAACATATATATATATATATATACTTGAAGATCCTTTCGATTCTTGATCTATAAAGTTTTTTTGGATACTATTCCCTTCTCTTCTCATCTCATCTCATCACATCACAAACAAACAAAACGTAAATAGACATGAATAAACACACACACACATTCAAAGCATCCACAAGAATCAAATCTATATATATATATAGGCAGATAGATATGTATAATGAAGATCATAAACTATATACTCCCAACCTATGCCATCCCAACCCATCCAAACATTTTCCATTTTTTCCACTTTTTCTTTCTCTACTTATCAACCCAACTCCTTATATATATATATATCTTTTTCTTTCGATTCATCAACCTAACTTTTCCATATCTTCTACTTCTCTTCACTCCTACCCAAAGAAACCAAACCATCCAAAGAAAAAAAAGAATCAAACCCATGAGCCTGTAAAAGGATGTAAGCCAGGACCTCATAGTGAAAAGAGAAAAAAGAATTTGATTAGTAAGTTCTAGATTGAAGTAAATGATTAGTAGTAGCGGTAGTATTAGTAGGAGAAGTAGGATTTGAAATTAATTTCATTTCACTAAGAGGTGGAGTAACCGTAGTAGAAGGAGTGATCGTAGTCGTTCCATCATGTGTGGTACCTCTTCTTTTCTTGGTTCCATCTAGTGATGTAGTCGAGACGATTTCTTCAGTTTGTTGTTTTCGATGAAGTCCAATCGGTGTAGTTGAAGTGTTGATGTTTTGATCTACAGTTAGATTAGGTGTAGTAGTTGAAATAGGTGTTATGACGACATTAGTAGCCGTAAGATTCGTTGATGTTCCATTATCTTTGGGTGTGACTGTGGTCGTTGATGCAGGGACTGCTATACTATTGCTTTTGACCTAAAAAAAATCAAACAAACAATGCAAAAGGAGGAAAAAAATCGGGAGAAGAAAAACCGGAAAAATCACGTTCATCGAGAGGGTCAAAAGGGAAAAACAGCAAAGAGAAAAATCAAGATCCATTTGGGGGTTTTTAAAAATCAAAACCATGCTGCACGAATGTCCCCCGGGTCAAGGGAAATGCCTCTCTCGAAAAAGAGTGACAAATGACCCAGGGAACAAGAAGCAAGCAAGCAAAAAAACGAAAATGATCAGATTCAGAATGACAAACTTTACTAGTCTGTTTGCGTTTGAGTCCTTTTGAACTTGATACTGTAGGAGGCGGTCTAGGTGCACCTTCGAAGACGAAATCCGGTAGGTAACAACTGATTGATGACGAGTAGGTACGGGTGAGTAAGTAGATAAACATCGTAATGGAATAAAAGGAGAAGAAAGAGAAACAGGTTAAGTGATACAAGACTCAAAAGTCGTCATCATTCCTTTCATACTTCCTAAAAGTCCAGATCCAGTCAAAAAGAAAAAAAGATGGATAAACAGACTTTTTGATATGTCGAACTGAGATTGACATCTTGTCTTCAGAGTACCCTTCCCATTGTTTTACCATTCTTGTGAATTCTCCTACTGGATATGTGATATCTAGTTTACGTGGTCCAACATGTCCAACTAAAAAATCCAATGATCGAATTTGATTTTTCAATGATTTGAAAACTTCTCTTGAATCAGTCTTCAGCATCAAAAATGAAAAAAGGGGATCGGGATTGACCTGGTTTAGGATGTACTAAGAGACCAACAAAGAAAGAACAGGTATGGACCACTTCGACATCTGCTCTATTCTCATAATCTTCCGGTATGCGTGATGCGATCTCATTTGGCATATCTCCACCTTGGACTAAGCTTACCTGAGGACACAATTCACAGTCAATTGGGTATTAAACACACAAAAAAAGAAAGTTATTGTACCTCTTGACGATTCAAAGCATAGGTAGTATTACTAAAACCTTTAATAAACGGATGAGCCATATCAACGGTTTCAATTTCTTCAACTTTCAATACCAAAAGTCTTAATCTTGATTCAACGGTACCAGCCCTAGAAAGTTCAATAATTTAGTCAATAACAAAACTATGAAGATCTATTCGGGAAGAGAATGAGAGATTTAGATTAACCATTTTAAATGTGCATCTGCTTCTGGTGATGAAGCTGTGATTTGAATATAATTCCGATAGCGCGTAAAGAAATCGTGTTTTTCAAACAAGGCGGACCATTGAGCGGATCCAGTGGCAATTGCGTCCGTCACAGCCAAACCTATGGCGATAGCAAAATCCCCATAAAAAAGTCATTCATCAAACAATTCAAGTCAAAAAGGTAAAAGCCATTCTCTGGTATGATAAACTCACCTCGTTTGAATTCAGTCATCATAACTTGAGCAGTACTTTTGGTAACATTATGAGTACTACACATACAAGGGTAAGCAGGGGTGATAATAGGCATTCGATGACCACGATCTTGGGGATAGATCTTAGGATTCCAAACCCTTCTTTGATCACCAATCGGACCAGATCCGATTGCTTTGAGTAAAACAGGAGAAGGCCAATTCCATTGAGAGAGGACCGCAAAGAATCGATTGACGATCGTAGCTGCCGGTTTATTAGGATACAATTGACAAACTCTTGCTGTACACATTGCCCAAGCTACTCCACCACAGAATCCCATCACATTACTGTAGACTGCTCGATTCTTAGCCCATAGTTTGATGGCTCTCAAAGAGTGTCGAAAGACTTCTACATCAGGTACGAGTCGTAAGATTTCATCTGTTACTCTTGATCCTCCTAAACTACGAACACATCGATCGTCTAAATTTTTCAATAATGCATCATCTTTCAATTCAAGATCATCAGGTACACTTGGTAAGGCTAATCTTGCGAATAATAGATCGACTTCGATGCCTGAGAATTTTAATGAGATGATCGGTACAAAGGCTTCGGGTACGGTTGAAAGTTCGGTGACTTCTGGTCGTTCTTTTAACATCTGTGGTAAGATTTCAAAGAAATGCTCTCGTGTGACTTGACGTGGTACTACACAAAGTGTATCAATATCTGATCCTGGTCCATGAACACCTAACCGATATGAACCTTTATGACCGAAAATTGACAAAGGACAAAAGAGATAGGTTAGCAAAAGATCTTGAGTCAATTTCTGATTGACTGATTCTATACGGTTTTTGAACTGACCAAAAGTAAAGATCTTGCCACCAGTTTCGCGTGCTACGTGATCTGACATTCCAAGAGCGAGTGAAACCTTAATCACGAATTCTTTGACAAGCAAGTTAAGTCTACCTAAGACAAGTTCACTAAAAAGAAAGGCACCAATGTAAAAAATGATCGAGATTCAGTGATCGAGATGAAAGTGTTAATCTAGTTCAAGATGGAAAAGAATAGAATAAAACTTTACCGTGCCCTTGCTTCTTCTGGAGATTCAAATGTACGACGTTCTTTAAGTTCATCCATAAGTGCAGTTGTAGAAAGTTCTTCAGCACGAGTAGGACCATTTATAGAGATTGGACCCGTGACACCATAAGTCTTGGGAAGAAGACTGAAAGTGATTGAAAGGTCAAGTATCAATCAAAGGTCAGTATCTCGATAGTTTTCTGGAAAAAACTATGATAGGAGCTTACCCATTGGGAGGTAAGCTCATCATGATGGCTGAAAGAGTTCTTGGCTTGGTTTCAGTTTGGATTGGATTGTATTCTGATGGTGTTTGATTGAGAATGGTGATGGATGATAAAAAGTCTGAGGGTGATTTAAAGAAGTTGACCGTTCAGACGACCGCTGAGCCTGACCAAATTTACATAATCAACTTTTGAGCTCAACTGTAACACTCATCACATGTTCAGCATATGTCACTCACTCAACTCTCTCTCTCTCTCTCCATTTCAAACCCACTCATCAACTTCTTGAGCTTCATCAGTAGTACTAGCAGTGGCAAACTTTGAAAAAGGGCCTTTACGCGAATGAATTGTAGCTTCAAGTGTTCAGAAACTCAATGTTCATCAACTAGGTTTTCAGCTAGCGCACGGGGACAAGTTTCACATTCAACAAAGGAACACAGCTAGATGTATCTGTATACAACTTCTTCAAAGGCTCAACATCATGAATCTGATTTTCTGCGTAACAAACGCGCAAGAAGCATTTATGTAGCTCTAAATATAAAGAAATTTAAGTGAACAAAGAGGTTTGAAATGATTCTACAGACATGGATTCGAAGGCTTTGTTTGTACTTTTCTAATGAATATAATCTTGAGCTGAAAGAAACCCAAAGTATCTTAACCAAACAGTTGTGATTTAATCTTGCAAACACGAAAGAAAATGAGGAAGAATGATTGGTTTGATCTGTGTGATTTAAGACTTGAATCGTGATCTGATCATGACATTTTGATCTATGTACATGGATATAAAGTCTTCTAAACGAGAGAATCAGGTCTCTTAAAAGAAGCTCAGAGTAATTTGACGATATTAATTGTTCTTAGGACGGATTTATTTTTAAAATCTTCTCTATAATAAAACACGATTATTCAACTCGAACAAAAACCTCTATCTACCTGAACATAAATGGAATTAAATTTGATCAATTCTAGATAGAGATATTTTTTTACGATTTTGTGTGATTGATGATGATAAACATAAAAAAATAAAACTTGAGCTGGAAAGAAAATTTCTCGATTAAGGGTTTTTCAATTTGACTTGTATGTTATTTGACTTGAATTACATTTGATGATAAGTTCTCAATATATGAATTGAATAAGTGAGATTATCATCTGAAGATTAAAATAAGACCTATCAACCTTCCAATCCTTCATGTTGTTTAAATTTGAGATTTTAGAGTCAGTTCTATAACAAGACGCTTTGAGCAATTATGAGCCTCGTCAAATCCAAAAAATCAGGCTTGATGATAAATTCAAATCCCGAACTACTCCTTGCAAAACAAATCAGAACAAGTTCTATAAGGAATTTAATATCAATTGAACTTTATGAGACCAGCTAGCAAAGCTCTATATGATGTAATAGTAGGTAAATGATATAATTTTTTCTTTACGTTCTACCTATTCAGTAATCATTGCGCGTGTTGCTGCAATTTCGTCGATAGAGCTACTACAAATCGGGCAACGAAATGAAGTTCTCAACAAAATCTAAAATAAGCAAAACAAGATCAAAACAAGAAGAGAAACAGTTTGAGTCAGTTTTAATAACCCAAAGACAGAAAAAAGAAGAAATGAATCAAAGAAACTTTTGACATACCTTGACACAACTGGTATGAAACTCGTGATTCTCATAACAAGGGAATCTAGAAACCGATTGACCAGATTTGAAGTCTTCATGACAAATCACACAAAGATCAAGTGAATTATGAACTCTATTTGAAAATCTAAGAACGTTCTCCTCTAAGTAATCCATTGCTGTTTCAATTATTGATTCACCATTCTGTTGTCTATTTCGTTGTGATTTCTTTAAGATTTCTAAAGCACTATCACTTGGTCGAGGATTTAAAGTGATACTATTTCTAAATTTGATAGTGTTTCGGAGTAATTTGGAAGCATAATCAATCGCATCCATTTGATGTTTCATTGAAATCAATTGATGGTCTTCTGGATTTCGATAAATGACTGATTTAATACTTTCAACTAGTTCGTATATATGAGTTCGTTTCTGTATCATAGAGATTGATTCTTCTTCCTCAATAGCTAAAAGAGTATTATCAAGATCGATCAATTCCTCCCATAACAGACTACTTTGTACTACTTCAGGTGATTCTGATCTTTCGATTTCAAGTGTTTCTAATGTTTCAGCCTCAGGTGATTCTGATCTCGCTCTTTTAAACATCTTGAATGATTTTTTAGAAAACTAAGATTGATTGAAGTGTTGATGTTGGATGTGTGGTCCTGATGTGTGATGTTTAATGACCAAGTTGATGGTTTGAGTGAAGTCGACCTTGGGAAGTCGCGTCGCGCTTTTGTAAACAAGAAATTCCTTGATCAGCACGCGCGCACGAATTCTCAACCGCGAACATACACGTATACAGTCCTAACAATCGTAAGTTATACTGAGAGATCACGTCGACAACACTCCCAAAGATCACGTCGCGAACACTCCCACTTCCACCTCACGTCCAAATTGCTCAATACAAGAAATCAAAGTCCAAGCCCTTCGTAAGTTGGAGATTTTCTTTTCTCTCGTCAACATAACCCACTTTCCGTACTACAAGACATCCGACTCAAACCAAAATCAAGCTCAACATCTGATTCGTCTTATCTATTCTCAACAGAACACCTTTCCACATTTCAATCACTTCATAAACACTCTTAACAAAACCATCAATAGTCCTGATCATTCTCAAACGCGAAGACAAAGCTTAGCAGTAGATCTCAACGACTTAGACATCTTTGGAAGGAATATGAATTTGTCCTCGATTAACTTGAAAGCCGTCGGTCGAAGACTTATAAGATGGATCGTTAGGCACTACCCAGTCATCATATCGACTCTAGTCATCTTCGCTTCTTTTGTGTTGGGTCTAAACTTTGGACCTCGACTTTTGCATCATAAAACTTCTTCGCCAACTTTGTCAACCCCATCTCCTGGAAGCATTCAAAGCCCAGCTCCTCTACCAGAGCATCTTGTTCCATACATCTACCGAGCAAGTTGGTCGAACCTAGAGGCCGATATCCCTCCCATTGAATTCGATGTCCTCGAACCTCTCGATGCCAATGACGGGAAAGGAAGTGGTTGGACGGTTGTATTCATTCACGGTCTTGGTTCTCCCGATTCATCTCACGGACACCAATGGCGAGAAACATTCTTATCTACTCTTCGACGACCCCTCGACTCTCAAAGCATTGGAAACTTGACGGGTCTTAGGTTCATACTCCCTAAAGCTCCCATCATTCCAATCACTGTCTATTCAGATCAACCAAATGGAGGAGCGCGACCTGGATGGTTCAACATCAATGACTGGAGAGACTTGAACTATCTTGAAGATGAGGATGGATTGAGACGAAGCTGTATTCAGATCTCTACCATTATTGCTGAGCAAGTCAGAGAATCAAAGATGCAAATGAACAAGACTATCATCGCAGGCTTCAGTCAAGGTATGTAGACATTATGATTTCGTCCCACTCCGATTTCCGCTTTCAATTTGTACGTCAATGAATACTGATATGAATCCTTTTCAAAAATCAAAAATCGAATAGGTGCCGTGATGACCCTCCTTACTAGCTTGACACTGCCAGAGCCCCCCGCTGCAACGTTGATGCTGGTATGTCTTTTTCTCTTGTTGAACGCAAATTTCGAATTTTATATAGGTTCTGACTATTTCTCTTTTCAAAGTCGGGCTATCTACCTCTACCCTTTAGATTACCACTGCTTCTTTCACCAGTTCCTGGGTTTTATCGATCGACTGCTTTCTACTGGATTCATGGAACCACAGACGAAGTATTAACTTACAACGCTGCCAAGTTGGGATTCAACTTCTTACGAAGGATCTCTCAAGAAGCTTTTGGTCGAGCCAAATTCAAAACCATCACTGGATTAGCACATGGCTTTTCAGAGAATGAACAAATAGTAGTAACCAATTGGATTGAAGGAATTGTTGATCAAGATACTAGGGGTGAATTCGATGATTTAGTTGATAATCTGATTCAACCTGAGAACATAATAGATGATCCTCAATATCCAGTTGAACATTTAATATCAACATCATTCACCAAGTCTCCCTTAGATGATTAACAAGTACTATTGGATACGAGACGATCTAGAATTAGCAGTCGAAGTCGAAGGGAACTCAGGCTTTCAACATCTTCGCAGGCAATTGAAGGCAATGAAATCTAATCAGTCCCTTTTCAAGTCTTCTAACACCCCGTGATCTTATGTTATGAGATCTTTCTCCATGATCGCGATATGATGCTGTGATAGACTGTAGAAACGACATATGTTGCGCGAGATATGTGTGTAGATGTGCGAATAGTCAAGAACATAGTAAAGAACATAGAGATGTTTTTTGCTGAGCTCCGGAATTTTTTGAAACTTAACCCAAACCCCTAAACCCCTAACCCCTAAGTTGAAATTGGATGATTATCGTGTCTTTCGAATTCGATTGTATCCGAGAGGCACCCCTAACCCCAACCTTTGTAACATTTCAGCAATCAAGGACTCAGGAGCTGTGTGAGTACGTGAGAATACCGCACAAGATGCGACTCGATCCCACAACATATTTTCTTTGTCACCGCCTGTCTCAGAGTCACAGCATTTTCAACTCAAGGCCCAAAAAACTTAAAGAAACCCTGCTTCCTGCCTGCTTCCCTGCATCTTGATTACTCGATCGAAGTCCATAGGGACTAAGTAAAACACTGGCAAAAACCTCAACTCTTGGGGATCATCATGACTCAAGATTTTCATTTCTCGCTGAATGAAGACCTTAAATCAATGAGCTCAAAATGGAGAAGTCGTCATAAAAGCTCCGATAGGCGTTTCTTCAATAAAAGCAGGTCTATCCACTCACTCAGGCCTTTTTTCGGTCAGCCTACTCCATGCAG